ACTTAATACCAGGAGTTTAAGACCAGCCTGAGCTACACAGTGAGACCAACATCTCTTAAAAAAAGAAAAGAAAAAAAGAAAAAGAAAATTATCTGAGAGGGTTATGGCATGTAGTCTCAGCTACTAGGGAGGCTGAGGCAGAAAGGATCCCTTGCGCCCTGGATTTTGAGTTTGCAGTGAGCTATGATGATGCCACTGTATTCTAGCTGAGGCAACAGACTAGACTTTGTCCTTCCCACCAAAAAGAAAATGTGGAAGTATAAAATGAAGACAAAAAGTAAGTTAAAAAGTGGGAACAAAGAGAAATCTAATAACAAAAATGAAAATAAGCAGAGAAGACCTTAAAATGGATAATTTACATGGAATTTTAGGAAGAGATAGATTATAGATGCACTCTTTTTATAAACCTTTACAACAGCTGTCTACTTTTTAGTTTATGGTATATAGTTTTCATTTTTTTCAGTTATGGTGAAATATTCTAGCTAAGTACCAATATGTTACATAGATCTTTTTAGTATTTATTATTCTTCCTTTTAAAAAAAAGGACAGTGGTAATTTTAGCTCTTAGTTGTTAATAGCTGAGATAGAAACCTTAATTCCTGAGTCCTAACATAAGGCTTTTCTGAATTTGAATAATAAATTTGCTTAAGTCTCATTTAAACATTTCTCCATCCAATAGTAATATTTTCTTCTTTTTTGGGTTTTGACTTGGGTCTTTTACAATAAATCAGAGATAGAAACAAAATTCAGGAATTTTGAATCTGAAGGATGTGGTACTGAAGTCCCTTACTAGATCAAACCAAAGTTTATCCAGCCTAATATCCACTCTAAAGCATTATTATTGTGACCATTTCTGATTGCTGTCCACAACAGCAACTCTGAGTAAGCAAAATAAGCTCTGATGGATCCAGTCTTTGGTAATTTTTCTAAAGTTCCTTAAACTTATGTGCTGTCTACTTTATAGTATTATCAGAGACCAAAATTCTTTTTTCGCTCCAGTATTCCCTTTGCACTACTTTGAAAGAGTTCTGTTATTTCCAGGTTAACATGCTGGTTTAGAAGAAAGAAAGTCAGTAGACCTGGGTTTTAGTCCTAGGGTTTCCCCTAATAAGTTATATAACCTTTGTTAAGGTATTTAACTTCTCTGGAACTCATTTTATTCTTATTTTAGATAATCAGTGGTAAATAGCCCTGAAGTATTCCTTATTCTAAATAAATGTGGTAGAAATCATGTTTAATTCTTGTTTGCTTTCATTATCAGTTTCTGTATGACTTTGTAAATATGGCCATATGTTTTCTAATTTCTGACTTCTCAGACAATAAAATAGTCACTGCCCTTTTCTACCTTCCCCCAGCTTTTAAAATATTGTTTTAATTCTTTTGATTATATAAATACTTCTCTAATCTTTCCCTGTTGATGTCTTTCTTAAAATAGGGTTGATGAGAATAGCATGAAGTATTAAAGGTGTGGGTAGATAGTCTGTGATCTTATAAAAATGTAAGATCACATTTTATGTTTTATTTCAGCTACTTTTTTTTAATGCCAATATTTCTAGGACTTTTTAGCCATAATATTTCAAACTGTCTTTTAAGTCAACCCTTTGCCTCTGGACTAGACTATATCTAAGATCTTTCCTATTCAATATCTTCTGGGACAAAGATTTCACAACCTGTCTCTCACCTTGAGGAAGTTTCTTATAAGTAACATAAATCTTGCTTTCTGCAATTTAAGTTGAATTTATACCTTTTTTCTTTTCTCTGTAGAGATAGGCACTGCCCCAAAGTGGAAGTGATGCTTTCATTTTTTTTTTGAATTTTTATAACATGGCCTTATTTAATATACCATTTAATTCAATTCAGTCCGATTGAATTTAGCAAATGTTTATTGAATACTCATATGAAGCTTTGTATTACACAAAGTATTTAGCATATGCAAATAATGCATAAACTTTACGTAAGAGACAGGCTACTATAATGGTTAGGCACCTGAATTTAATTTTTTTTTTACTGCAGCATTATTTATTTTTATTTTTTTATTTTTTATTAAATCATAGCTGTGTATATTAATGCAATTATGGGGTACAATATGCTAGTTGTATATATAATTTGAAATATTTTCATCAAACTGGTTAACATGGCTTTCACCACATTTTCCTAGTTATTGTGTTAAGACATTTATATTCTATCCTTAGTAGATTTAACATGTACCCTTGCAAAATGCACCATAGGTGTGATCCTACCAATTACCCTCCCTCCACCTATCCTCTCCCCTTCCCTCCCCTCCCCTCCCTCTCCTCTTTCCCCTTTATCTTGGGCTATAGTTGGGTTATAGCTTACATATGAAAGTGTGGGTGCTTATAAATTAGTTTCATAGTAGGGCTGAGTACATTGGATACTTTTTCTTCCATTCTTTTTTTTTTAATTTCTTATAGCATAACTGTGTACATTAATTCAATCATGGGGTACAGTGTGCTGTTTTCATATACATTTTGAAATACTCTGATCAAACTGGCCAACATAACCTTCATGTCATTTTCTTAGTTATTGAGCTAAAATGTTCATACTCTGCTCTTAGAAAGATTCACTTGTACCCTTGTAAGATAAACCATAGAGGTGACCCCACCAATCACCCTCCCTCCCCCATCCATCCCCCTCACGTCCCCCTCTAACCCCCTTCCCATATTCTAAGGCTATAATTAGGTTATGACGTTCCTATAAAAGCTATGAATTAGTTTCAAAGTAGGGCTGTGTACATTGGATACTTTTTCTTCCATTCTTGAGATACTTTCCTAAGAAGAATATGTTCCAGCTCCATCCATGTAAACATGAAAGAGGTAAAGTCTCCATCTTTTAAGGCTGCGTAATATTCCATGGTGTACATATGCCACAATTTATTAATCCATTCATGGGTTGATGAACACTTGGGCTTCTTGCATGACTTAGCAATTATGAATTTGGCTGCAATAAACATTCTGGTGCAAATAACTTTGTTATACAAAGTGATTTTTGGTCCTCTGGATATATACCTAATAGAGGAATTAAAGGATCGAATGGCAGGTCTATTTTTAGATCCCTAAGTGATCTCCAAAGATCTTTCCAAAAGGAACGTATTAGTTTACATTCCCACCAGAAGTGCAGAAGTGTTCCCTTTTCTCCACATCCACGCCCATATCTATGGTTTTGGGATTTTGTGATGTGGGCTAATCTTACTGGAGTTAGATGATATCTCAAAGTGGTTTTGATTTGCATTTCTCTAATGATTAAGAATGATGAGCATTTTACCTGTCTTCTTCAGAGAAGTTTCTTCTCGAGTCCTTTGCCCACACTGAGATGGGATCATTTGTTCTTTTCTTGCTAATACATTTGAGTTCCCTGTGGATTCTGGTTATTAAACTTTTGTCAGAGACATAACCTGCAAATATCTTCTACCATTCTGCAGGCTGTCTGCTTGCTTTACTTACTGTGTTCTTGGCTGTGTAGAAGCTTTTTAGTTTGATCAGGTCCCAATAGTGTATTTTTGATGTTGCTTCGATTGCCCTGGGGGGGGTCCTTCTCATAAAATATTCTCCCAGGTTGATTTCTTCAAATGTTTTCCCTGCACTCTCTTCTAGTATTTTTATATTTTTATGTCTCAAGTTTAAATCTTTAATCCAGTGGGAGTCTATCTTAGTTAATGGTGAAAGGTGTGGGTCCAGTTTCAGTCTTCTACTGGTCACCAGCCAGTTTGCCCAGCATCATTTGTTAAATAGGGAATCTTTTCCCCACTGAACATTTTTAATTGGCTTATTGAAGATCAAATGATGGTAAGTAGCTGGGTTTATCTCTTGGTTCTCTATTCTGTTTCATACATCTACCTCTCTGTTTTTGTGCCAGTACCATGCTGTTTTGATCACTATTGATTTATAGTATAATCTGAGGTCTCTAGTGTGATTCCTCCTGATTTGTTTTTACTTCTGAGTAATGTCTTGGCTATTTGAAGTTTTTTCTGATTCCATACAAAACAAAGTATTATTATTATTTTTTTATTGTTGGGAATTCATTGAGAGTATAAGAAACCAGGTTACACTGATTGAATTTATTAGGTAAAGTCCCTCTCACAATCGTGTCTTGCCCCCCAAAGGTGTGGGGGGCAAGAACTGCCCCCCCTACTTTTTTCAAGGTCTTTAAAGTATGACAGTGGCGCATTAAAATTGTATATTGTTTTGTGTAGTATGGACATTTTAAGTGATACTTTCTTACGAGGTTCAGTACTAAACAGAAAGATTACATAATTTCCAGTCCAGCATCATTTTAATCTTTATATATTAAATCTTCCTGACTTTTGTTTCAACATTATGTCTCAGGAGATACTATTTTTTAAGGTCCAAATGAAATAACAGTTATGTGTCTACTATTAATGTTTATTGTATCTTTTTGCTATTTAGATCCAAATGAGCTACTCAAATTAAAAAAAAAAGGAATTCTCAAAACTGTTTTGAGGATGTTAGCAGATTTTTATTTTATTCAATATAACTATGGTCAGGGGACTGGGTTTTTGCCTATGCTTTATAGATTTTATCTCATTATTTTATTAGTTATATTGTGTACTACTTGATTTATTCATTAATATCCTCCTTATAAGTTGTAAGAATAGAAACCTATTCTTCAAAACAAGCTATCTTGAAACAGATTTCAATGGATATCGTCTATAAGCTTTAGTATGTAAGCTAAGAACTGTGCTAGGTATGGAGAGGAAAAAGAAAACACATTCTCTGCCCTTGAGGAACTTGTAGTCTTACTGTGTGAAGAGGATGAGCGTTGTAATTATAAGTTACTTATAAAATAATACAAGAGAGCACATATAAAATATGTAATGTGAATTTTATTTTGCATTTTAAAGATTAATATAGAAAACTTCTTATACTATACAAATCTTTTCTATTAACTAACCTAAAATGTCTAATTAATTACTTTATTCTGATTTCTGTTTTATTTTGTTTCTATTTTTTTTTACTTTGAAGGCTCAACAGTTTTCTGAAAAATCCTTCCTCTTACAGCTTTTGAAAACGCATGAAAATGCTTTAGAAAGGCAATGCAGTGAAATTACAAACCAAAGGAATATGCTTCTCCAAACCTTTGTAAGTTCTAGCCATTTTTAAAAATCTATTTCACTAACTGTGTCAAAAGTATTTAAATATACGTAGGTGCACTTTTAGGAAATTATCCATATGCATATTGGCAGATAGTACTGCTCAGATACAGAAAGGTATTAAATGCTATTAAAAACCAATTGGTAGAGTAATGTAGTTTGAAAGAATTCCGTTGGCAGGAATGCAATATAGAAATTATTTGTAATTGTAATAAGAACAAAAAAAAAGTGAACATAATTTGAATTGCTCAGTCTTTGAGACCTTGGTTTTAATGCTCTTGTAAAGCAGAGGGGCTCATACTTCAGGCATATTCAGGGATTGGGGTAAAAGGATGGATTTTGTATATCTTTTTACCCTAGAGCCAACAGTTTGAGCAGTGGTATTGAATGACAGAGCCGTGTTAGAAATATTAATCAACACTCTAAAGAAAATACATTTAAGGTATTAAAATAACATATCAAAAGTAAGAACTAACAGACTGGATGGTTTTGAATGACATGGTTAGTTTCAAAATGTGTCTCAAAATTCATTGATATCTCTTAGAAAACATAGAAAAATATAGTAATGTTTAGATTCTGGCATTGTCAAAAAGTTTAGGTCCTTGCATTTTCCATAGTTTTTGGAAATTCTTATTTCTATGCCATGTTAATATTTCATAAAATGTTAACTATTATTGGAACTGATTTTGAAGTACATATATAATTTTACCTTCATTGCCTACATTTTAAAGGGTTTTCTTAGATATCCTTATTTTGTTGTTTGCTATAAAGCAGTAATTCCTTTATATTTAGATTTTAATTTTCAAGTTTGGTCATTTAATTATTTTACCATCCAATTCCATACTACAGTGGCACAATGAATACAGATACAATTTTGAGTGATAAAATTTCTACCTCAATAATTCTCCCAAAATGTTAAGGAGATATCTCTTGTCTGAAGATAATTTGTTTTAATATATAATAGCTTTAGTTTTTTCTTAATATTATCAGAGGAACAAAGCATTTTTGCAGTAAAATAAGGAAATGTAATTTTATACCTTTGTTGTTAGTAACTCCAAATGATTATATTTTTAATCATTAAAGAAAAATATTATGTGCATTGTGACCAGCACCTGTATTTCATCTTTTTTGTTTGTTTTGTTTTTCAGGAGGCTACAAAGAAAAAAGCAATAGAGGAGGAGGAAAAATTTATTAAGGATATTTCAGACTTCAATAATGAGTATGAAATAACAAAGAAAAGAGAACTTTTAATGAAAGAAAATGTCAAGATTGAAATATCTAACTTAGAAAACCAGGCAAACATTTTGAAAATGGGTATGAATACATAGTACCACCTCATTTATCTTACATTAATGAAAATAACTTATTTTGAATTAAGTAATTTTTCAGAAATTTTGCTTTTTAATAAGCAAATTGGATTACTGTATAGCTATTCTTTTACTTTGTCTTAAATATCCTAATGTATTTTTTATTGTGAGCAGTCTCAAATGCTTTAGAGGTACATGTGATATGAGCATTCAACAATTAAATATCTGTTATATAATAGATACTGTTCTATAAAAGTCAAAAGTAAGGGAATTAAATCTTTAAGCAGACACAGTACAGTATGGTGGAAGCCACATCAAATGTTAGAAGTGGTACTGTAATTCTCGTTCTACTATCAATCTAATATAAGTTAGGAAATAAGATTACACAGTAGGTGGGGAGAGAAATACTAACAGGAAGATTATTGGAATCTATGATAAGATCCTGAGTTAAAATATTTGCCAAAGAAAGGAGGGGATGAATAAAAACAGAAAAAAATTAGGTGGTCATTGTGGCAAGATCCTGTAATCATAGCTTCTCGGAAGACTAAGGCAGAGAGCTAGGCTAATGCCATGGCACTCTGTTCTGGACAGCAGAGTGAGACTCTGTCTCACGATAAAAAAAAAAAGAATACTGGATTTTTATCTTTGCCCTCAAGCCTTTTCTTACTGCTGAGAATCAAAGAGGAAAGCATTATATAAAAAGGCTGCCAAAGATGTTTATTTTAGTTCCTAGCACAATCATTAAGGAAAAAATGAAAAGACAAATGGCTAAAAGGACAATATAGAAATTAAAAAGAAATCCTAAAAAATATTTATATAATCTGAAAAAATGAGGGGGGAGGTACAAAGGAGTAAAAAACACAGAGAACAGACAAAACAAATAATAAAATGGTCAACTTAATTCCATCTGTAGTCACATGCTGCTTAACAACAGGGATATGCTCTGGCATAGAATGCACGTAGACAAACCTAGGTGGTTACAGCCCACTACACAACTAGGTAATGTGGAAGAGCCTATTGTTCCCAGACTGCAAAATTGTACAGCATAGCACTGTACTGAAATGCAGGGGTAAATATGTCTCTCTACACATATCCAAACATAAAAGTTAGAGTAAAAAAAAGATACTGTCTAAAAGATAAGAAATGGTACACTTGTATTGGACTTTGTGTGTGGGCCTATAAAGTTGCTCTGAGTGAGTGGTGAGTGAATGTGAAGGCTTAGGACATCACTGTAAACTACTGTAGGGTTTATAAACACGATACACTTAGGCTACACTAAATTTATTTTAAAAAATTTCTTTTCCCAATAGTAAGTTGATTTTAGCTTGCTGTAACATTTTTACTTCATAAAAGTTTTGATTTTTGTGTCCCACCCCGAGACCCCAACCCCATCCCTTCTTCCCTCTCTCTGCTCTCCCTTTCCCCCATCTCCCTCCTTCCCTCTATGTCCTCTCTCCTTCCCCCACCCCTGACTGTGTACTAGGTCATTAATTGTCCTCATATCAAAATTGAGTACATAGGATTCTTGCTTCTCCATTCTTGTTATGCTTTACTAAGAATAAAGCGTTCCACTTCCACCCAGGTTAATACAAAGAATGTAAAGTCTCCATCTTTTTTAATGGCTGAATAGTATACCATGGTATACATATACCACAACTTGAGTTCTTTGAGGGTTCTCCATACTTCCTTTCAAAAAGGTTGTATTAGTTTGCAGTCCCATTAGCAGTGTAAAAAGTGTTCCCTTCTTTCCACATCCATGCCAGGGTCTGCAGTTTTGAGACTTTGTGATGTGGGCCATTCTTGCTGGGGTTAGATGGTATCTCAGGGTGGTTTGATTTACATTTCTCTAATAATTAGGGATGATGAACATTTTTTCATATGTTTGTTAGCCATTGTCTGTCTTCTTCAGAGAAGGTTCTATTCATGTCTCTTACCCATAAAAATGGGTTAGGGATTGTTGGCTTTTTTCATCTGGACTAATTTGAGTTCTCTATAGATCCTAGTTATCAAGCTTTTGTCTGATTCAAAATATGCAAATATCCTTTCCCATTGTGTAGGTTGTCTATTTGCTTTGGTTATTGTCTCCTTAGTTGTACAGAAGCTTTTCAGTTTCATTAAGTCCCATTTGTTTATTTTTGTTGTTGGAATTTCCACAAAGTCTTTTTCATTAAGTCTTTTCCCAGCCAATATCTTCAAGTGTTTTTCCTATGCTTTCTTTGAGGATTTTTATTGTTTCATGCTTTAAATTTAGGTCTTTTATCCATCTTGAATCAATTTTTCTGAGTGGAGAAAAGTGCAGGTCCAGTTTCAGTCTTTTACATGTGGATATCCAGTTCTCCTAGCACCATTTATTGAATAGGGATTCTTTCCCCCAGTGTATGTTCTTGTTTGGTACAGCCTAAAGTCTGGTATGCTAACACCCCTAGCTTTGTTTTTATTACTAAGAACTGCCTTAGCTATAGGGTTTTTTTCTGGTTCCATACAAAATGAAGAATTATTTTTTCCAAGTCTTGAAAGTACAATGTTGGTATTTTAATACAGATGGCATTGAATCTGTAGATTGCTTTGGGAAGTATAGACATTTTAACAATGTTGATTCTTCCTAGCTGTGAGCCTGGTATATTCTTCCATTTGTTAATATCCTCTGCTATTTCTTTTCTTAGGGTTTCATAATATTCTTTATAGAGGTCCTTCACCTCTTTTGTTAGGTATATTCCTAGGTATTTCATTTTCTTTGAAGCTTTTATGTTAAACACAATTATAAGAGGGACTTTACCTAACAAATGCAATCAATGTAATGTGGTTTCTTGTACCCTCAATGAATTCCCAACAATTAAAGAAAAAGAGAGAGAGAGATAACCACCTTAACACATAGATCAGACACTAAAAAAAAAAAAGTTTTGGTTTTTATTATTTATTTATTTATTTATTTTATTATTTTTTTTTTTTGCAGTTTTTGACTGGGGCTAGGTTTGAACCCACCACCTCTGGTATATGGGGCCGGCACCCTACTCCTTGAGCCACAGGTGCCACCCCAAGTTTTGGTTTTTAAAAACTTTGACTTAAGCTATAATAATATATAGCTTAAGACACAAACGTTTACAGCTTTACAAAAATATTTTTCTTTGTGTTTTTATTCTATCAGCTTTTATCTATTTTTAAATGTATTTATTTGTTTATTTTACTCCTTAAAATTTTCTTCATATTAAAATGTGAGGGTCTCACATGAATGTTATTGAGGTTTGTTTCATTAGGAAAAAGCCCCAAGTACACATCTTTTTCAGATAAACCCTTTTATTCTTTGGAAACAGAAATGACTTCAGTAGCCAAAACAATTTTTAAAAGAATACATAGTAAAATTTAAAAGTTTATACTCTCAGATTTCCAAATTTACTAGCAAGCTATCGTAATTGGGATAATGTGTCATGTGTCACTGACTTAAAAATAGGCAAAGAGTTGTCTATTTTAATTTGCACACAAACTTTATGGACACCCTATAGATCACTGGAATAGAAAAGGATCCAGAAATAGCCATGTGTGTGGTCTACCAGTTTTCAACAAAGATGGCAGGCCAGTTCAGTGGGGGGAAAGAATGGCTTTTCAATAAATGGTACTAGGACAATTGGACATTCATTGCAAAATAATACTTAACTCTTACTTCACACCATATTAAAAATAACCTAACATGGACATATACCTACCTAAATGTGAAAGCTGTAATTATGAATCTACTAGAAGAAAACATAGTATAAAATCTTTTCCATCTTATACTAGGCCAGTATTTTTAATCTCACAGCACATTTGAATCTATAGTTAAACCTCAATGGCACACTTAAAATTATGTTATCAAAAAAAAAGTTTAAAGGAAATATACTTACTGTGCTTTGAACTTCTTTGGAAAATTAATTAACAATCTTTAAAAAATGTTCATGGCACACTTATGATCCTCTCTCAACATAACAGTTGAATATTACTGGACTAAGCAATGATTTCTTAGATAAAACACAAGAAACACAAACCATGAATGAAAAACACATTGAATTTAACATAAATTTAAAAGACACTTAAGAAAATAAGACAAACCAGAGAAAGTATTTGCAGCAAATATATCTGCTAATGTACTGTTATCCAGAATATAATGAATTCTTATAACCTAAAAAGGGGAAAAAGCCAGTTATAAAAGGGAAAGCATTTTTGAACTTTATAATAGAGTACTAAAAGCCAATGAACATGTGAAGAGATACTCAGTATCTTTAGTTATTAGAAAAATAAAAATTAAAACCACAGTAAAATGTCACTTTGTGTCTATGTAATTGAAGTTAAAAATATAATTATGTATCAAGTGTTGTTGCCAAGAATGTGGCACATCTGAAATGCACATGGTAGTGATGGGAATGTAAAGTGAATGATATGATCAATTTAGAAAATAATTCATACTTTCTTCAAAAGCTAAACATAAATCTACCATATAGCCCTGCCACTCCACAACTGTTTACTCCATAGAAATGAAACCCAATCCATGTTTAAAATTTTTGGAAGCTTTATTCACAAAACTGAAAACTGAACATAAATATCCGTTAAGAGGAGAGCAGACAAACAAACTTGATATAGCCATGTAATAAAATACTCAGCAATAGAAACAACAGATCTGGGAGGAGGAGCAAGATGGCCAACAGGTACCAGTCTCCAACAGAAGCTCCTGTCCAGAGGGAAGGATAAAGTCCAGAAAATACCCAACAAATTTGAAGACTAGGAGCCCAGCTGAGAGAGAACAGTGATATCTGCAGGACAACTCTACTGAGGCAAGTTGTGACTCCTAGAAAGCAATCTACAGGTACATAAGACATCCCAAAGGAAGAGTGTCCATCCCTACCCCCAAGAAAGTTGCATTTTTTTCTCTTTGTCTGCTCCTGTGAGTTTCCTACAGACAAGTGGTGAACTGAGGACTTATTGTCTCACCCCACGTGTGAGAGCTACAGAAAGAGGGGTCTACTCCCCTAGAGGGAC